TGCCATGTCTTCACACACAAATAGCGGTACAGGCCGACCCTACTGACCGTCGAAAATAGCGTGAACGGTACAATGCTAACCACGTTGTTAACTAATATTAGAAATGTTAAGGTGCACGTTGTTTCTGACGTGACGCCACTGACGGGAAAGTTCAGCTCGCGAGATTTGGCTCACACGTCGAAAAACAACGCGAGTGGCCTGCACTGGCTGCATAGCAGGCTGCAGCTCACGTCGAAATTTGGAGTTTTACGCCAAATTTGACGTGAAATTGCGCGTCACGTCGGAAATAACATGCACCTCTTTATTATCTTGCCGCAAGATAACGTGATGGGTTCGTTTCGCAGCACGCTTTCTAACAATAGACTGGAGTGAGATGTTCACTGGCTTCAGCGAGATAAGCGTGCCCAGGTGCAATGTAACGCTATGTAAGTTGTGTGTGCAGTGTAACGCTATGTGAGTTGTGTACCGGCTACACCAGCATCCGGCTCCTCTCTTGTATGTTTCAAACAGGGAGCAGTAAAATACTGCTTTTTTACTACTCCCTGTTGTCCAAAATTTTATTATTTAATAGGGAATGTCATCACACAGGAACACAACACATCATTATACACATGTACAACATCCCTGGTATAACTGTTACTAGTAATAGTATCATGCCAAACACAATAAAAAAAAGAAGAAATCACATGGAAACGAGTTATGAAGCAACTATCCACGACTGTAACAAGATAATAAGCAGTCAGAAAGTGCGATAACAGGGCATAAAAATGACATGTTACTGTGACATTCAACAACCTGCTTCCATGTGATTTCTTCTATTTTATTTATAGTTATTGGCTCAGTATCCGAGTTAAGTATGCCAAACACAATGCGCGTTTCCGAGATGCTCACAAGTAGCCTCCTTAGCTCTGGTTTGGTTGAGCACTCTTGTTGAAAGTGATAACGTCAAAACGGCCAGGAAGGAGTAAGTTCACGTCTGATTTCTACTTTTGGATCAACTAAGGTGTGACTATGCTATTGCTAGTATGTGGGTGCATAGCAACCCACGCGTGTCGTATGCAGGTGTGACTTTTTCTTCGCCACCAATTGTCACCCCACTCCCATTAGCCAACCCAGTCAATTTCAACAGCTATATCAGCGGTTGTCAGTTGACAAACCCCCTTTCATTTACAATGCACTTGCGTGATGTCCATTGTCCACCACTTTCTGAACTATACGCCCGATTGCTTGAGAGACTCACCTCCTCTCCCCTAACTCACTTGTGAGGTATGCATTCGCCACTAAGGTGTAAAGGCATAGTGGTGGCCTGCGGAAGCGAAGGCTATAGCTTGTGTGTTTCTGAACATTCAAGTGATGCTAACGGATCCCGCGAATATTATTATTTTATGTACAATCATGTATATCACCTTGCTGTGTGAGTAAGACCGCTTGAAATGTGCTTGGATCCGCTGTACCAAAGGACACTGTATGCACATACATGTACAATAGTTGTTTTCTATTTTTTGGTGTTGTGTTCTCATCTTTCACCATGGCCCCCCGTAAATTGTATTCTGTTTGCCCGTAAAAAGGGCTTACATGTATATTTCTCTATATGGTGGTGAGGCAAGCGAACAAAGCCGATCTGTAGCCTTGCCAAATGTTGTGATTATTTCCTTACTAGGTCCGTTGCGTGAACATCTCTGCATCGCTGAACTGAGCATTTAATTAATCGTGTGCAACACCGCGCAACAATGCCTCTCTTCAGCATACATGTATGCATCCAGCATATACAGTGCAGCCAACTGAAATCCGACCCCCTGAGCGGTGCGCTCACATCGCAAAGACCCAACACTGGATAGTAAAACTACGAAAAATAGAGATCGCTAGAAAGTGAACGCACCGCTAGGGGGTCGGATTTCAGTTGCCAGCACTGTACATTGTACAAGTAGCAGTGTCGGCACAGGAAGGTGGCCACTGGCCAGCCGGCATACCGGCTATACAGTCATGTACATACATGGAGTACATGCCATAGCCCTGTGCTAACAATGCCTACACCATACAGGTAGCTGAGTATGTTGGATGCGAAGGCTACTGTTGCCGTGCAGATTGAAGTGCATGCGTGTGGTCATGTACATGGTGTGCGCGGATTTACCATAATAATTTTGTGCGCGTGTGCGTGTGACTGCGTGTATGTTGGTACGTGCGCGTGTGTGTCTCTCAACGTGACGCTGCATGCTCGCGTACACGCATGTATAAATGCTTGGAAGGGACGCGACTGGTGCCGCAGTAAGACTCGAGTTCTATCAAGGTGATCTATTCCACTCTACCTCCCCCCCCCCCCCCCCCACTTTACCCCCTCCCCCCTCCCCTTCCACTCTACCCCCCCCCCCCTCCCCGTCACATGTACGTACATGTATACGTTAGCAAAGGAGAGCGCAGGGCCGTTCACTGAAACACATACATGTACGTTCGGCGCTGATTTGGTGGAGGTGGTCAGGTGGACCGGGACTCTGCCAACCGCGGAAGGTTGTAGCAAGGTCACTGTTTTCGAACGCAGTGTCCTCCACCTTGTTTCATGCTGTCAATCTAACAACATAGGTCATCTACTTGTAGCTACTCGCTCGCGGAAGCAATCGCTACAGTTGGCACAGAATAGTAATGCATCATACAATGCACTCTCACTGGTACCGGTAGTTGCTGATCAGCGCTAGGGACCGGCGGATTCTGCTCGAAAAGGTGGCAGATTCTGCTCGAAAAGCAGTAAAATTGGCAGAACCATACAATTTACAACCTTATGGCGGGCAATTCCTCGAATTCTGCTCCATTTCTTTATCCACATAGCAAACATGCATGAAACTTACCAGAAAAAGTACCGAATTCTGCCAATTTTTCTGCCGGCAGAATCGGCTGGACCCTAATCAGTGCATGCGGATACAGTGTGCACATGAACTACAGTACAGTGTGTACTGGTAACTGAAATCAGACCCCCTGACTGAGCACCGTGAGTGGTCTCTATTTTCGTAGTTTTACAACCCCGTGTTGGGTCTTCGCGTTGTGGGCCAGGGGTCGGATTTCAGTTGCCAGCACTGTAGTTAAACTGGAACTCTGATAAGACGTACCTCGGTGGAAAACAGGAAAGTGTACGTAGTATTCGAGGTACTCGAAGAGCCGCATCATCATAACTGCATGTACATGTTCTTAAAGCTATTACTAGTAAGTATTCATTTTCTGCTGGCCCGATTATTTCTTTTCCTAATTATTATTATTTTCTTTGCCTTCGCTTTCTTGTTATTGGGCAACTTGCCCGTTAGAATCTGCGAAGTAAAATAAACAACAACAACAACAACAACAACAACAACAACAACAACAACAACAACAACAACAACAGCAACAGCAACAGCAACAACAACAACAACAACAACAACAATAACAACAACAACAACAACAACAACAACAACAACAACAACAACAACAACAACAACAACAACAACAACAACAACAACAACAACAACAACAACAACAACAACAACAACAATCGTGAGAATAAAGATTTGAAACAACAACAACAACAACAACAACAACAACAACAACAACAACAACAACAACAACAACAACAACAACAACAACAACAACAACAACAACAACAACAACAACAACAACAACAACAACAACAACAACAACAACAACAACAACAACAACAACAACAACAACAACAACAACAACAACAACAACAACAACAACAACAACAACAACAACAACAACAACAACGACAACAACGACAACAACTATCTCTTATTGGCGATGGTGCCATCGTGAGAATAAAGAATTCAAAAAAAACAACAACATGTACACTCTGGTGCTAGAGCGACGAACGACATGTATTCTTTTAACATTGTCCGGTGTTTTCACCGAGTCTTGAGATGTTGCAATAATATATAAATATAAAAAAAATCGGTTAAACCTCCCGTTCTGTCTTGCGAACACCGACGACTAAAATTAATGTCTTTACAGCAAAAGTCGCTACTCAAGCTGTGCTGCTCCCTGGTCAGCGCTGCTTATGCAGCCTCATAGGTACAGTGGCACACGCCGAGCAGTGAGGGAACGTGGGAAGCTACATGTACAGTGGAACCTGTCTAAGACGACCACTCAAGGGACCTTTGAAGTGCGGTCTATATAACCAGGTGGTCTCCTTATCCAGGGTCATTTGACTGGAAATACATTGACTGGAAATACATGTAGCATCCCTTGATCCTGGTTACAATGGTCTTCTTGGACAGGTGGTCGCCTTATCCGAGTGGTCTAGACCTGGTCTAGTGAGAAGGCATTCTACTGCCTGTAATTCTGGTGAAGTAAAATAAAGTAACAACAACAACAACAACAACAACAACAACAACAACAACAACAACAACAACAAGGTCGCCTTGACAGGTTTTACTGTACGTGCATGGGATACAGTACGGGGTATATACCACAAGCAGTGAAAGTTATGCAGTACAGGGGAAATGAAATGAGCTGGATAACAACAGTCAGCTGATTTTGCAGAATCTCCTCGCCAATTTTAAATACAATATAAGTATTATGAATACTGGAAATCAGTATTACATAGTGCCCATAAAGAGGTTTTAACTTTGAAAAAAATGACATTCCCACCTTCCAACCCGGCTAATATTTAGATTTTGATAAAAAAAGATTCAAAGCCTCTCAGTACTTGAAGTATATATAAGGATAATAATAAAGATTGTGAAAGAAGGACAAAATGTTACGAGTTATGACTAACTGACCAACGTAACCAGATCTTATACAGTCAGCGAGTGCGACAAAAGTGCGACTCGTAACATGTTGTCCTTCTTCTTTTCACAAATATTTAATTGGCTCACCATCCGAGTTTCAATAATAATGATAATAATTATTATAATATACTTTCACGCAAAATAAGCTCGGTGCAGCACTAATCACGGCAGTACTGCCCATTGCTACTACTGATTGCGACGTGCAATGATAATTATGTACATGTAGCTGTTTCACAGGCAGCTGCACTGCTGAGCAATTACATCCGGCACGGTCTTGATCACAAATGAATTGTGGCGTTCATAAAAATGAAGGTATGAGAAATGGCTGAGCGCTGAAGGAACGCAACACGCACCGGTGTTTTCCAGCACCGGTTGGACGCCTTTGGCTTTGTTCTCTCCTTCCATTCGAGACTCAAACCTGGCATGGTTTGTACTGCGGATAGTGGATTGGATAGGAAACCTACAATGGCCCGCACATCTATACATGTTCATCTGCATCGGGATAAGGATGGCATGCTCGCCATACCAGAGCGTTAAATTCAACACACGATTTCGACGTCCGCAGTCTGCGGAGTCCCTGATCGGATCGCCAATGATGTTGGCTGGGCTTCCAGCTGCGCTGGCTTTTGTGTCCCTGCGGTGCCTGGAGGCTGTGCCACTACTCCTGCTGCCGCTGTCTGGTCGTTGAATTCGTTTGCCAGAGTGGACCACTAGCACAGGCTGGTTATGGCCATTCCCATCAGTCGTACGCAAATGGAGAAACTCATTGGGATCGAGGCCGTCGTTACTTTGTTGTTGATGAATGAAAAAATGTATTTGTTTCTCGCTTGACGGCAGCGCCTTCACTGAGCGTGTGACGTTGAACAGTTGCCAGCAGTCGCCCGTGGGTCGCTGATATAGTCTATCGACGTAGGACAACTTATCGCGCACATCCCCGGAATGCAGGGCGATGATTCTCTGGTAGTCCTCGGCCCCTTGAGTGCCTGTAGGCATCACAAGCCTACCCGCTGCAGTCTCACGCCAGCCAGGCTGACAGTGCCGAGAGTAGATAGCCAACGTGGCATACGCTACGGACTGGTCAGTTTCAGTGGCCGCCTTCAAACCGGACATGTTGAATGTAAGCATCCAATGGCGACTGTAATTGAGCAGCCGGGCAGCTGCGGGGTGAAAAAATAATTATGAAAGAGCAAAAATGGTGGTTATAAAATGCATGCGTACACTGAGCCCTGATCGCAAGAAAAGTTGTAGGTGCAGGGCTGTGGTGCATAGACATGTAGAGTTGCGCTCAGTGAAATCCGACCCAGAGAGCGCACTTGGCACCCTCAATTTGCACGGCCATTGACGCCCCGGAAGTGGCACGAATGCAGCTGGACGTACACATTTACAAAATTAATACGTTAATACAATGTTGCGCTAGTAATCAGAACCGGTACAAGGCGCCAGTTTCGCAATTTCGGTCGGATTTCACCGAGCGCAACTGCACAGTGCACATGCCCATGTACACGTGCTGGGCTTTTTCCAGAATCAGTTCTACAAAGTCATTTTTTCTACAAAGTCATTTTTTTCTACAAAATGATTTTTTTTCTACAAAGTGATGAGCCGTACTACTGTATACCTATAAGTACACATTTTCGTTCACGAAATCTTTCATTAGATCACTCCACCAGCAGGTTCGTTATGTACTGTACTAAATTTCGTTTTTGGTCGAGGTCTGTCATCCCGAACGTTCAGAAAAACACCTTAGGTTGGTACAAACTTTAGTTATTTCATGCCTCCCTAACGAATATAGCGAAAGTTAATTCCAAACGAAACTTTGTACGCATACAGTACTTGGCACTTCAATAATACAATGCTCCTCCACTCCTTTCCTCCACGCGCTCTGCAGTCGACTAGCTACTACAGCTGTAGTAATAGACTACACTTGGCAGCCATCACACACTACAAGCATTCGAACAACGGTTATACGGGTACTGATACGTATTGAGACTCTTCTTGCAATTTCTCTTGAGGTCCCCGATACCGAAATTTTACTGCACCTAAAATTACATGTTATACAGTATATGAAATAGAACAGGCATATGGAAACAGTGGAGCACAAGCTATGCGTTAGAGCCCCATTGTTGCCATGTTTTCAATTTAATATTTCCCTAAATTGGGGACCCCTCACAATCTGAGTTCTTTAAAAATATTATCCCAAGATATTCACCCGTCCAGTCCAATTATCTCAAACCGGCATCCCGCCGTTCTGCACACGTCTTGTGTTCAAACGTAACAGCTGCACAATGTGCTGCAGTGTGTATGTACCCAGTGCTGCAGCCTACTGCAGTCCATGAGTAGTAATATAACGACCTTACTAACCTGTTGGTGTCTCCCACAAACAGCACATGTGTACATTGAACATTGTAATTTTTTATTAATGCAATGATTAAAACTATGTGTGCACTCACAACCATAGGGACGAATAAAGTATAGTATAAGTCCTATTGTAGTTTCATCATTCTCTTTAGTCACGAATTCAAACAATAGGAGGACAGAGAAAGTGTTTTTACTCCGAGTTTCACGCACTAAGCGATCATCAGAAAACAGTCTCGAATTCCATTGATGATTGTGGCAAGAACATGTTCTGGAATACTTTATTCGTCGCTATGGTTGTGATATGAGTGCACATTATAGTTTTATTCATTGCATTATTTTTAAGATTATTGTCTCCACGTCCCCTTTTTAATTTTATATTGTTTAAGGATTCCCCAAAGGCTTTCGCCTATCGAGGGGGTTTCCAAACTTTCCGAAATACCAAATCTCTAAAAGGAGTGATGAGCAATAGGCGAGCAAAGAAAGAGATATTTACATAGTCTAGAACAGAGCTACATTTGTAGTTTCGACGGCACGTTGTACAGTCGACTCCACTTACAACGAACTCACATTATAGCGAATTTCGTGATTATAGCGAACAGTTGTCCATGTCCCAGTTTGAACCCACATTTCTGTTATAACAAACTTTCGCTATAAAGAACTAATTCTCCTGGACAGTAGTGTTCGTTATATCAGGAGTCGACTGCAGTTGTAGCTACACGTATGGTGAAACAACAGTGTAACCTGCATGGTGTCACCCATGCATTCGATCCTTGCCACATTTTGAGGCCAGAAACGTCCCCGTGCAGGGAATTGGAAAGTCAGCCAGGTTTTACAAAGCTAGGACTGGCATGTCATGGAGAAATGCATGGAGAAACAGATCCAAAACCCAGAGTTATCAAGTTTAAAGTGGGGTTTTGAACCTTATTTCGGCCTTACAGAAGAGAAAAATGTCGCGTACATATCGTGTAAAACTACTCAACCCGCTAGAACAGCGTTCGTGCACTTATCTCTACCGTCTACCTCTATCGGTAGAGTGACTCTACTCTACCAGGTACAGTAAAACCTGGTTTAAGCGACCACCCCACGGTGCAAGCAAAGCGGTCGTTAAAGCCAGGTGGTCTTTAGAACCAGGTCCCACAGTTTCTGTGTAGAACTGTCGTTGCAGGGAGAAACGGTCGTTAAGAGCAGGTGGTCGCTAAACACAGAGGTCGTTTACACCAGGTTTTACTGTAGCTAAAAACGAACGCATCCTTATTGGCAACGACCAGGGTTAGGATGCAAGGAAAGCAAATGAACAACAGCTGCTACTACTGCTACTGTGTCTACTTACATATCATGGGCAGGCTGTGGATGCTCTCCAGCAAGGTTGGATCCGCATTGGACGCTCTTGGCCGTAGATGTCCCGTGCGATTGTCAGCAATCTCGTTGTACAGGTTGAGCAGGTGTCCGGGTATCCTGGCCATGGCTGCGGTACCTACTTGCTCTTTCTCGTCCTGCCACTTGCCCTCCTCGTCCTGGCCATGCTGTGCCATCGATGCTGCATTCGACTGCTGTAGCAAAACAACTATGGCCAGCAGCAAGGAGCAAGCACATCGATAGACGTACTAACGGCTCCATTGCACTGAAGCATGCACAATCCAGTGAGAGCACAGACGAAATGATCGTGAGCAGCCCGGATGAATCTGACCTCGGAGAAGGAGTGCGACTTCAACAACAACGATTATTCTGGAAAATACGGTGTACGCGCCATGATAATAACAGGACTGCACAGGATTGCAGGATTACCGGTAGATGCCCCGTGGGCGGACCCGACCTCACACGCACGGGTAAAACTGAGGTCACGGGGCAAGGTAAAAGTTCAGACCTTCGGTCAACGGACCACACCACACCCGTGGTCAGTTTTGCCTTGGGGAAAGGAAGAACCTCTCGGGAAAAAATTGGCAAAGCCGTGGCCGTGGGCCTCAGGGCGTTTGTCAAGGGAAAAATCCCATGGCTATAAGACGCGCATGCGTACATCTTGTCTTTGGCGAGAACTCTGAACCGTAGTTGTACGAGTGCATCGCAACTCATACTTGCATTTTCAGACAGTGTCAGTGCCTGGCCATCGATGCATCGGAAAATCGTGCATGGCGAATGCAAGATATCAGTACAGAATGTACTAAAAAATGCAGTACAGATTATTTAAACACACGGCGAGGAGACAATAATTTGATAACCGCAATCAATAAAACTAGCTGAACCGACATTTGTGTACTTTATTCATGCAATGTAAAAACTGTGGAGACGATGTGCAATAAAACGATGAAAATATGAAGAAATGGTGTAGGGAAAAAACTATATGGATTCAAACAAGTTTTCGTACAACACTCATCAGGAATCGTCGTTGTACTAAAGGACACTGAAACAAAAATTGAACTATTATAGAAAATCTAAGTTAGAGAAATAACACTAAGAGCAACAACAGTGAAATTTACAAGTGTGAATTTTAACAATCAAAGCGAGAAATGAACAAAGGAGAAAGGAAGGAAAGACAACGTGATAACACATACATGTAACAGCAGTACATTACACCTAGAACATTAACGGCCAAGCTTGGCCGCACTAAACACGACACGTTACTTGAACAATTTCAACCCAATTATACTATCTTTCTGTACACACAAATTAGGCTTATACAGACGCTGATAGATAGCTTCCAACACTTTTAACTGTAGTCCATAACCATGACGACCACGGCACAATACAGTGAACGAAGAGTCGGAATACGAATTGCAACAATCAGGACTAGCTAGCAGATGATTGTAAACTGAAGACTTGCTACCACGAAACCTACGCACAACACTAACACTCTCACCGGCATTCTCACCATCACTCCCATCACTGCTCTCCGACTCACTGCTCCCTCCGCCGTCCGCTCCATCCTCCGCTTCCTCTGTACTCTCTCTGTCTCGTCCATCCCGCCTGACCGGGTCCATTGAACTCAACTCGGCCGTCACCCTGCTATCACGTCCCTCCTTTCGCCCTTGTCCGCTGAGTGCGTAGCTTCTGTTGTAGTTGGCTGTTGATCGTCTTGGTCTTTCAATTGTGGGCTTGGATGGTGGATTAGTTGTGGTTGCTGTAGATTGCGTTGTTGGTGTTGGTGTGGGAGCTACTGATATGCAAGGTGGGTCTTTTTGAGTCGGCATTTGTAGTGTTAATGCAGCTGTCAGTGTTGCTCGCGGTCTCCCACCGGCAAGCTCCACCGCCGCAAGAACCGATGGTGGAGGATCAGGAGGAGGCAGTGGGACCGGGACCGCAAGCGGCACCGCCTCAGCCAAAGCCGCCGGGGGCACTGACGAGGGAACCACCGACGGCCGGAGCAAAGGCGGCGACACAAGCCGACCCGATGAGCCACCACGCCCATTCTCCTCCACCACCGCCACCAGCGACGGCGGAGCAAGCACAGTCCGTGAGCCAGGATCCGCGGGTTGTGTAGGCAACGGCTGTGTGGTTATTGGTTGTTTTCTAGGTCGCCCTCGCTTCGGTCTTTGTTGTTGTGCGCAAGGTGGAAGTATGTGACGTGGTGTGTGTTGTTTGATGCGTGCGCTCAGGTGCTGAACAGTCCTACCAACATACCGACTAGCGCATTGTCGGCATTCAAAGTTGTAAATAAGATGACTTAGGTGATGGGCCGGTAGGACATCCTTCCGCACCGTAAACGCACGCATCGTCGTAAAGACTGGCACGAAGTGTACTGCGTAGTATGTTCGACGAACAACAGACTTGACTGCACTACAAACTTTAGTCGACTCCTGCCCTTTCCACGGCAAACATAAATAAACGGGACAACGAGCAGGACCAATCATAGGAGCCTTCGTAGTTTGTTCGACTTTCAATAACTTCTGCAACAAAAACTCAGGGTACCCGTTCTTGACAAAAACTGACCGGAGAAAATCAAGCTCTTCCTGCAGCTTGCAGGACGAACAAATACGCTTCGCACGATCTACAAGGTTACGCACTAAGTTTACTTTATATTGAGACGAACAATAAGAGTCATATACAATGTACAGACCAGTAAACGTCGGCTTTCGATAAACGGTGGTCAGAACGTCACTACTCGTTTTTTCCACAAGCACATCTAGAAATGACAATTTGTTGGACTGTTCATGCTCACATGTAAAACGAAGGGCAGGGTGAATACTATTTAACACGTCAAGAAACTCGTTACTACGCTCCTCATTATCAAAATATGTGAATGAGTCGTCCACGAAACGTACATAAAGGTCAGGCCACAATGAATCATCAATTTTCGACTCACAGTAACCGACAAACACGTTTGCCAATACCGGACCAAGGGGCGAACCCATCGCAACACCATCGACTTGTTTGTACATGACATTGTTGAACGAAAACTCAACACCAGTTGTGACCAGCAACAACAACCGTCTAAACGCACTTTCAGATATCCAAGGAGTGTCAACGTCATCATTACGGTACAAAACATCCATGCAGATGTCGACAGTTTCTTCAATCGGCACATTAGTAAATAAACTGACGACGTCAAACGAACACATGTGTGCGTTTGGTGGTACAGGCTTGTTGCGGAGCTTCTCGACCTTCCTGACCTTTATGTACGTTTCGTGGACGACTCATTCACATATTTTGATAATGAGGAGCGTAGTAACGAGTTTCTTGACGTGTTAAATAGTATTCACCCTGCCCTTCGTTTTACATGTGAGCATGAACAGTCCAACAAATTGTCATTTCTAGATGTGCTTGTGGAAAAAACGAGTAGTGACGTTCTGACCACCGTTTATCGAAAGCCGACGTTTACTGGTCTGTACATTGTATATGACTCTTATTGTTCGTCTCAATATAAAGTAAACTTAGTGCGTAACCTTGTAGATCGTGCGAAGCGTATTTGTTCGTCCTGCAAGCTGCAGGAAGAGCTTGATTTTCTCCGGTCAGTTTTTGTCAAGAACGGGTACCCTGAGTTTTTGTTGCAGAAGTTATTGAAAGTCGAACAAACTACGAAGGCTCCTATGATTGGTCCTGCTCGTTGTCCCGTTTATTTATGTTTGCCGTGGAAAGGGCAGGAGTCGACTAAAGTTTGTAGTGCAGTCAAGTCTGTTGTTCGTCGAACATACTACGCAGTACACTTCGTGCCAGTCTTTACGACGATGCGTGCGTTTACGGTGCGGAAGGATGTCCTACCGGCCCATCACCTAAGTCATCTTATTTACAACTTTGAATGCCGACAATGCGCTAGTCGGTATGTTGGTAGGACTGTTCAGCACCTGAGCGCACGCATCAAACAACACACACCACGTCACATACTTCCACCTTGCGCACAACAACAAAGACCGAAGCGAGGGCGACCTAGAAAACAACCAATAACCACACAGCCGTTGCCTACACAACCCGCGGATCCTGGCTCACGGACTGTGCTTGCTCCGCCGTCGCTGGTGGCGGTGGTGGAGGAGAATGGGCGTGGTGGCTCATCGGGTCGGCTTGTGTCGCCGCCTTTGCTCCGGCCGTCGGTGGTTCCCTCGTCAGTGCCCCCGGCGGCTTTGGCTGAGGCGGTGCCGCTTGCGGTCCCGGTCCCACTGCCTCCTCCTGATCCTCCACCATCGGTTCTTGCGGCGGTGGAGCTTGCCGGTGGGAGACCGCGAGCAACACTGACAGCTGCATTAACACTACAAATGCCGACTCAAAAAGACCCACCTTGCATATCAGTAGCTCCCACACCAACACCAACAACGCAATCTACAGCAACCACAACTAATCCACCATCCAAGCCCACAATTGAAAGACCAAGACGATCAACAGCCAACTACAACAGAAGCTACGCACTCAGCGGACAAGGGCGAAAGGAGGGACGTGATAGCAGGGTGACGGCCGAGTTGAGTTCAATGGACCCGGTCAGGCGGGATGGACGAGACAGAGAGAGTACAGAGGAAGCGGAGGATGGAGCGGACGGCGGAGGGAGCAGTGAGTCGGAGAGCAGTGATGGGAGTGATGGTGAGAATGCCGGTGAGAGTGTTAGTGTTGTGCGTAGGTTTCGTGGTAGCAAGTCTTCAGTTTACAATCATCTGCTAGCTAGTCCTGATTGTTGCAATTCGTATTCCGACTCTTCGTTCACTGTATTGTGCCGTGGTCGTCATGGTTATGGACTACAGTTAAAAGTGTTGGAAGCTATCTATCAGCGTCTGTATAAGCCTAATTTGTGTGTACAGAAAGATAGTATAATTGGGTTGAAATTGTTCAAGTAACGTGTCGTGTTTAGTGCGGCCAAGCTTGGCCGTTAATGTTCTAGGTGTAATGTACTGCTGTTATGTGTTATCACGTTGTCTTTCCTTCTTTTCTCCTTTGTTCATTTCTCGCTTTGATTGTTAAAATTCACACTTGTAAATTTCACTGTTGTTGCTCTTAGTGTTATTTCTCTAACTTAGATTTTCTATAATAGTTCAATTTTTGTTTCAGTGTCCTTTAGTACAACGACGATTCCTGATGAGTGTTGTACGAAAACTTGTTTGAATCCATATAGTTTTTT